CCCTCTTCTTCCCCTTTCATTCGCATACTACCTCTCAAGCCGAATATAACCTCATATTGAAAAAAACATTTATTTACGCTCTTGTTTACAATATGACGAATAACGAATAGTGTCACCCTCCCCTCCCCCGTCAACAATACTCAATTGTAAACCCATGGATCCCCTTCCTAAAAAAGGTATCATGCTACTTGATGTACAGTTAATTCAAATGATAACAAAACAACTTGAATTATAAAATCAATTAACTTAATCTTTTTCTTCTACAGAGTCTAAAATCAAACAAGGTTGCTTATTTATATTATTATAAAAATATTAATGTTTGACATAACATAGGTTTAGAATATATTATCTTCAAAAGAATAAATTTTACTTACCGATTATATTTGTTGCAGCATAATGAAGAAACTGATAAGCAGCAAATAACAATAACGATAATTTTCATTATTAATACGACCGAGTAATCCAGCCGATTGTAAGTACTCAAATTTTGTTAGACTACAACTACATACATTGTAGTATATCTCCATTGTATCCAATTGATTAATATCGCACGACTAAATAGTTCTTATTGTGGCTAGTTGAGTTCATTACTTATATAAAACGTACAGTTTAAGTATTTTTAAATATCACAACCAATTTACCCCCCTGAGCTTCTGATTTCTTCAATCAAAAACATACCTAACCTACTATATAGCTTTTCTTGACAAATTTTAAGAAAAATATTTTAGAGAAGAATGGAGGTATACATAAATATTAGGATTAAAAAAATCATTTATGCTGAGAAAAATAACACCTTTATTTGGATATATATCAGTCTATATCAGATGCTGAATGTTTTATATTGAAATCTAACATTTCATCCACGTATCAAGCAAAAAGGGTTTCTAGGGGTCATAATACCTTTCTCAAAAATTACGTTAAATATCAGGGCTCATTCAGGAGTTACACAGACATAGTTTCAGTAACAATTTAGAATGAATAACGAGAAATAAAAGCTACTTCGTTGTTTATTACTTATTTATCATAATTATCAATGCAACTATAGTTTCGATGCAGTCCGCACTCATTTAAAATATCATTCTTAAAAATAAGTATATACATTAATTTCTAATTACTCTGTTTACATAGATCTTTGAGAAAGACATCTAATTAATCAAGACGGATCGTCGATTTAAGAGTGTAACCCAATTCTTCATCAATGTTGTAGTTCTGTGACCATATTGAGTTAGTAGTAACTAATTAAAAAAAAAACATTGTATCCGAATAAGAAGTTGAGACAGCACTCAGTAAGTTACTGTGTTACTAGGCCGAAACAATTTCGCAAGTGACTCCATATCGGGTTTTAGATTGCAAGTTGAGTCACAACTTCATGGTACTGGAGATTCGGAGAACGTACATGCATAATTCAAACATCTTAGAGGTCCTGTGGGCGTAGAAGAACATCCTCGCTACGAATTTTTCCATAAATCTAGTGCAGGATTATTTAGGGTTGTTAATAGCAAAGTGATAATTACGAATGTGATAGTCAACGTTCGTTGAAGTACATGGCACAATAAGAAAAAGAATGGAACTAATCGGTTAAACTAGACTATTTTCGGTTTCCCATTTGGTATACGTCTAATCCGGTAAATAACATCGATTTTATATGAGTCATTCCATTGTTTGTTTGAACGATAGAAGTAATCCATTGTCACTAGGGTATACTTTGTTCCATAATCCGTTTCCGGAATGGTTCTGCAACATTTGTCGCAATTCTCTCGAATGGGATA